ATTTATGTTTGTACATAGAGCATGTGTATGTATATGTAGAGAGCATGTAGGTCTGCACACACGTATGTATGTGTATATATATGTGTATATGTATGTGTGTGTGTGTACATAAAGAACATGTGTATGTATATGTAGAGAGCATGTAGGTCTGCACACACGTATGTATGTGTATATATATGTGTATATGTATGTGTGTGTGTGTACATAAAGAACATGTGTATGTATATGTAGAGAGCATGTAGATCTGTACAGACGTATTTGTGTACAGACATACACACACCTATAAACATATCTCACAGACCATTTAGAACGGTTTTTCTCAACCTTGGCAACTTGAAGATATCTGGACTTCAACTCCCAGAATTCCCCAGCCGGCATTCGCTGGCTGGGGAATTCTGGGAGTTGAAGTCCAGACATCTTCAAGTTGCCAAGGTTGAGAAACACTGATTTAGAATAACCCATAAATCAGTCAGCGTGACCCTCTCCTCGGAAATAAAACAATTCCGTCCGTCAGAACGGAACAGTACCAAACCAAAGACAGAGACAGATCGGGCTCTTTTTAATCATTCCGCCCTGAAACCTGGAGGGAAGCCCGGGGTAAGGTTGTATATCTGACCATATCAGGATTAACCCTCAGGATTCCTGCACCCAGAGCCTCTCGGGGCAGCAAAGGAGGCGAAGGCGGCGTCGCCCGCAGGCTCTCAAAGGCGGCAGGGAATTTAGCCAACCGAGAAGCCCCCGCAGGTTGGTTTCCCCACCGGCGGAGGAGACGCCGCAGAGTAGCCGGGTTCTCCCTCCGGGGCTTGGAAGCTCCGCCCTCCGCCGGCCCGCGTGAAAGAAAGGACGGCCTCCTCCCGCCGAAAAGCCGCTCACCTCCTCCGTAGACGCCGCCGCTCATGACGGCTCGAGCTCCCGCTTCGCCGCTTGCAGCTCCGACCTCCGAGCGCCCCAAACTCTCCTCAGCTTCTCGCTCCTTTTTCTTCTCTCTCTCTCTCTCAATCGCTCATTCACTCTCTGCTCCCGGATGTCCCGCCTCCGTTTGCCCTCGCCGAGCCAATAGAAAACGACGTTACGGAGGAGGCAGCCTATCGGAGAAGGGATAGGAATATGCAAAGCCAATCGCGGGGTCGTTTTCTCGGGCCTTTTCGCTTGGCCTCGGTCTGATAGGCTGAGACGGGGTCCCGCGTGCGAGGGGGAAAAGTCGGCTGCAAGCGCCCGGGGACGGAGCTAAAGGGGGCGGGGCTAGAGTAAGGCTTTCTAGGAACAATGGCGGGATTTTCTCTCTCCCTTCCCAAGTGTTGGACTACAACTCCCGCCGCCACACTACGTTAATTTGTCGCGATGGGGATTGTAGTCCCAATCAAAGGCGCTCGCTAGTTTAGAGGAAACTTTCAGGCGCTCTTCTTCCACTGTGGTCTGTTGCCAGTGCTAGGGTAAGAGGCTGCTGTTTCACGCTCTTATCAATAGGGGCCACTGCTCTCTTTCTGTGTCTCCCTGGAGCGTTTACAGCAGCCCCTCCGGCGGAGCCGAAGGGGAAGTGACGCGAACGGAGTTCCGGTTTGCGGCGCAGGCGCGCTGCCGTCTTTCTCTCTGAAGCGTGATGGCGGCGAGCAACGTTGCGTCGGCAGCGACTCCCCTCCTGTCTCTGGACCCGGAGCGGCAGCGCGAGTTCCAGGCTGAAGTTCACCGGGTGCGCAAGGCGGCCTCCAAGGTAAGAAACGGAGGGGGGCCGTGGTGATTTCTTCCGCCGGGCGCTGGGAGAGAGGAACTTCTAAACGTCTGTTTACGCCACTCCTCGTTTTACCTCCCAGAATCAGGTGGTGAAACCGGGCGTCGTTTACGTGGGTCACCTCCCGAGAGGCCTCTACGAGGCTCAGCTCCAGCAGTACTTCAGCCAGTTTGGAACAGTGACTCGGGTCCGCCTTTCGAGGAGTAAAAAGGTAAGTTTTCCTTCGGTGGTTATAATTCATTTAAGATTCACGTTTCTTAACAGCCCGGCTCATTTTTATATATTTATAAGTTAGTTTATAATCTGCTAACTTATGAACTGCATTGGCAAGAAAAGTCATAAAATGGGGTGAATCAGTTAACAGCAGAAACCTCGGGCTCAGTTGTGGTCGTTACTCGAGGACTAGCTGTATAAACTCAAGGTGGAGAACATAAAAAGCTCCTGCCATGTGAGGTGGGTTGGGCTAAGAGAATTACTAGACCAAAGGCGGGACTAGAACTCACAGTCTCCCAGTGACTGGCCCAAAGTCATCCAGCCAGCTCTTATGTCTCAGGTGGGACTAGAACTCACGGGTCTCCTGATGATTGACCTAAAGTCACCTGGCTGATTTTCATGCCTAAGGTAACCTAGAACTCATATTTCATGGTTTCTAGGCCAGCACCTTGACCACTGCACCAAATTGGCTTTTATGCCCTTAAGCTATGTGCGTTGGTTGGGTGGCTATTCTGGAAAACTCAAGGGAAGTCCTATAAGAGTATTCAGCAATTATTTTCCTCCACAACAACTGTGGATAGGTAGGTTTGAGAGAGAATGGCTGACTTAGAGTTACCCAAAGAGTTTCCATCACTTAGGGGGCAATGTTTAGTCACTCATTTCATGTAGGTGATTCTGGATGGTGGACACAATTAAGAAGAAACAACATAGTGTCAGAGCAAGTAAAACAAAAGCCATTGAAAGTAATTAGAACAATTACAAACTATATGTGGGAGAGTATATTTAGAGTTTTACATACAGTATAACCAATACAATACAATAATAGAATACAATAGCAGAGTTGGAAGGGACCTTGGAGATCTTCTAGTCCAAACCCCTGCCCAGGCAGGAAACCCTACACCATTTCAGACAAATAGCTATCCAACATCTCCTTAAAGACTTCCAGTGTTGGGGCATTCACAACTTCTGGAGGCAAG